AGCTCACAGCAACCTCAAACTCTTGGGCTTAAGTGATTCTCTTGCCTCAGCCTCCCAAGTAGCTGGGACTAAAGGTGCCCACCACAATGCTCAGTTATTTTTATTTTTTGATTGCAGTTGTCATTGTTGTTTGGCAGGCCCAGGCTGGATTTGAATCTGCCAGCTCCGGTGTATGTGGCTGGTGCCCTAGCCACTGAACTACAGGCACCGAGCCCAATATAGTATATTGTATGCAGTATATTATAAAACAAGAATAGGAAATTTATATTCAGATATGAAAACTATCATCCATGTGTATTAAGTGAAAATAACCAAGGGGTGGAAGAGTGTGTTCCTATTTGTCAAAGTAAAGTTTCACAAAGATAAACATAACTAATGCAAATATACACTGAGTACCAAGTTTATTTTAACTACTAATGAGTGAATCAGCAGGATGGATCAAAGAAAGAAATGAAAAACCATTACTGACAGTCAGTGGAGAAAAAAATGCTGGAATAAGATTGCAAAGTAAGATAGAAAAAGTTAACTCCTACCTGGCAGTAAAACCATAACTCTTTTTACTTTTTTCTAGCAGACAAAAAATATTGCTATTTATCAATCATAAACAGGTTAACCTTTCATTGTAAGAGAGTCTGAGCCCTAATCAATAGTGAACAGTAAGCACTTTGACAGTTAACTTCCCCTAGATAACCCATAGGTGGGGTTATTAGCCAATGATCTAAAATGGCTTTGAAAGGGCACTTCATAACTTTTTTGGCATTTACAAGTTTTGGATGTTTTTTCTGAACACATTTATTATATAAATATATGCTTTTATATTCGTATTAATTACACCACCACTTATAAGCGACTTACTGTATACATTAACATATTTAACCTTTGCAGTAATCCTGAGGACAAAAGGCACAGAGAAGTGAAGGAGCTGCCCAGGTCCCACAGCTGGAAACTGGCAGAGAAACATGGCTGAAACCCAGCCATGCAGTTGCAACCTCCAGGCTCTTATCACTAACCTATCCCCCCCACCGGAACATCCCTGGAAAGAAAACCTGCGTATTTCTCCAGAAGAGGACTCAACAGTTGACCAGGAGTGAGACGGAAACTTTCTGCTGAATCCCTTTTTCAATATTTTGATTTAAAAAAATAATAAATTGTATTTCTTTTTTTTCTTCTATTTTTTGGAGTCCGTCATGGCATCGTAGCTCACAGCAACCTCAAACTCTTAGGCTCAACCAATCCTCTTACCTCAGCCTCCCCAGTAGCGGGGACTATAGGAGCCCACCGCAATGCCTGGCTATTTTTACAGACAGGGTCTTGCTCTTGCTCAGGCTGCTTTCAAATTTGTAAGCTCAAGCAATCCACCCACTATAAATTGCATTTCTTAGAGTAGTTTCAGCCTTACAGAAAAGTTGTGAAGACCATTCAGATTTCCCACATATCCAGCCCAGTTTCCCATTATTAATTTGAGTGTAGTACATTTATTACTAATAATGAACCAATATGAAACATATTTTTGTTTTGGTTTTGTTTTTCTGGTTTTTTTTTTTTTTTTTTGAGACAGAGTCTCACTTTGACCACCTCAGTTGAGTACCACGGTGTCATAGCTTACAGCAACTTCAAATCCTTGGGCTCAAGTGATACAGTGATACTCTTGCCTCAGCCTCCAGAGAGGGGGATTACAGGCCCTTGCCACAATGCTTGGCTATTTTTAGAGACTGGGTCTTGCTCTTGCTCAGGCTGGTCTTAAACTCTTGCACTCAGGAAGTCCATCAGCGTTGGCCTTCCAGAGTACTAGGATTATAGGCGTGAGCCACTGCACCTGGCCTTAATATGAAACATTATTTTATTTTTGAGATAGGGTCTTCCTATGTTGCCCTTGGTAGAGTAGAGTGCTATGGCGTCACAGCTCACAGCAACCTCAAATTCCTGGGCTTAAGTGATTCTCTTGCCTCAGCCTCCCGAGTAGATGGGACTACAGGCACATACCACAATGCCTGGCTATTTTTTTGTTGTTGCAGTTGTCATTGTTGTTTAGCAAGCCGGGGCCAGATTTGAACCTGCCAGCCTTGGTACACGTGGCTGGCTCCCTAACCCCTGAGCTATGGACACCAAGTTGACATATTATTAACTAAGATCCATACTTTGGGGCTGGGCACAGTGGCTCACACCTATAATCTTAGCATTCTGGGCGGCCAAGGTGGGTGGATTACCTGAGCTCACAGGTTCGAGACCAGCCTGACCCAGAGCAAGACCTCATCTCTAAAATTAGCCAGCATTGTGGCAGGTGCCACTAGTCCCAGCTACTTGAGAGGCTGAGGCAAGAAAATCTCTTGAGCCCAAGAGTTTGAGGTTGCTGTGAGCTATGATGCCACAGCACTCTACCAAAGTGAGACTCTGTCTCAGAATCCATACTTTATTTATTTTTAAGATAGTCTCACTCTGTCACCCTGGGTAGAGTGCCAGGGTGTCATCCCAGCCCACAGCAGCCTCAAACCCTTGGGCTCAAGAGATCTTCTTGCCTCAGCCTCCCAAGCAGCTGAGACTACAAGGTGCCTGCCACAATGCCCGGCTAATTTTTCTGTTTTTAGTAGAGATGGGGTCTTGCTCATGCTCAGGCTGGGTCTTGAACTCCTGAACTCAAGCCATCCATGCACCTCAGCCTCCCAGAGGCCTCATACTTTATTTAGATTTCCTTCGTTTTTACCTAATGTCCGTTTTCTATTCCAGAATCCCATCTGAAATACCACATTATATTTCTTGTATTTCATTGTGACATGTCCTTCGCCTCTTCGTGACTGTGACACTTTCTTAGACTTCCATTTTTTCTGATGTTCTTAACAGTTTTGAATTGTACTGCTCAGGTATTTTGTGAATGTCGCTCAATTGGGATTTGTCTAATGCTTTTCTTACGATTAGACTGGGGTTGTCAGGAAGATCACAGATAGGCAGAATTTTCCTCACATCATACCAAGGCCATATGTGGCATACTATAATAAGAACATGACTTCTCACTGTTGATGTCGGCCTTGATCACCTGACTCAGGTACTATCTGTCAGTTTTCTCCACTGTGAGGTTCCTCTTTGTTCTCCCTCTGTATGAAGCTCATGCTAAAGGAGTGGGAAATTAGACTCCATCTCCCTGAGGACTGAGTATATACATTTTTTGGACTTCTGCACAGAGCACTGTGACTTTTAAATTATGTATTACTATATTGTGAACAATTTAAAAATAATTCTGCTCTTTGATTAGGGGAAAACACATACATGAAGTGAAAATGAGAATAGGGTTGGATAATGTGTGATGTTTCCCAGATGGCCCTGAGGGCAACAATGGCGGACTGGACCGGGCTCAAGGCTAAACCACCTGTTTGATTCTGAACAAGGCACTTAGGTTTCTCTTGCCTCAGATTTCACAACTATTAAATGGAGCCAACTGAGCTATTGGAAGGATTCCTCAGATAATATGGGTGAGAGGGTTCTGCAGATCATAAAATACTGTTAAGAGGTGAGGTATTAAGGAAGGGCCTGGGGAAGCCAGTTGAGCTATTTCAGGGCCTCCAGGGTGAGTGGGAGTTCTTTCCTCTCCACCCACAGCTGAAATTGCAGCATTGGGCATCACAGGCAGGGAAAAAACTTCATCTGCAGTCTTGGAACAGCCTGGCAGCGGGATGCTTTGGCCTGGGAGTTGGCCCGTGACCTTGGGCAAGCTGTTAACCTTGCTAAGCGTCTAGTATGCAGAACGGAGGTGAGCACAGCATGCACCCTACAGGTGCTGTGGAAGGTGAATGCAGCACCTAGTACTGGGCCTGGCCTTATTGATATCATTTTCTTACTAAATCTTCACAACATTCTGATTTTACAGTTGAGGATACTGGGGTTATGAAGCTTAAGCGACTCGCCCAATGTCAACAGCTCATAAGTGGCAAAGTGGTGCTTGGAAGTCAAGTCTGTGAGACCGGAAAGCCTGTGCTCATTCCATGGCAGTGCATGGCCTCTGCCCACAGTAAAGGCTCCTCTGAGTCTTTGAGCCTATCCCTCCCACTCCACACTGTTCAGAAGTGAGACTGCTGCACCTCCCAGGCCAAGGAACTCAGCCGTTTGTGGCTCTTTCTGCCTCTCCATCCTGGCTGGTGTGGAGATCTGGTGGAATGAACAGTGCAGCCTGGGTCCCTGGTTGGACAACATCGTCCAGTAGAGGGAGCCTCTCCACCTTGGGGAAGACCCACCTCTGTGGTCCCTGGCCACCTCCACAACTTCACTCCCTCAACTGCTCCTCCCTTTAGTCCTCAACTAGCTCCTGATCGAGGCCTTCTCTCCTCTCCCTGAAACCCTTTCAGGCTGAACAAGGGAGAGAAGCCTCCAGGCCCGGAGCTACTCTGCCCGTGCCACCTGTAACATCCCAGGTCTCCCAGCCTCACCCCAACCCCTGAGCCTTTGGAACTGGAAGCCCACAACACAGCTGTGCAGGATGCAGGCCATGCCAGGCCGCCCTGCTGCAGCACTTGGAATCCCACTGCGCAGGGCTCTCCCAGCCTCCTCACCTCATGAGTGACATCAAATGATGATGACGTTCCCAGCTGCTGTGCAGGTATGGGCAGCCCTGAGCAGTGCCTGGCACATGGTCTCCTGTGGTGGGTCAGCAGCAGGCTGTTATTCTGCCCACACAGCAGCAGAGGAGGAAACAGCTGAGGGTGCAGCGGAGGAGTCTGGGTGATGTGTCCTGAGGGCCCCGGGACTCCTCTGTGATTCTAGGGTACTGTTCTGGTGGCCCTTGAGATGAAAACACACACTCACTCTAGACAGCCTTCTCAGACCAGCTCCTATGCATCTCCATGTCCCCCAGCCCAGGCCCACTCCTCCCGCCCTGCTGCCCCTCACTGCAGCACTGCTCCCCGTGTGTGCGCGTGTACATGTGTGTGAATACATGAGTGCTCCCCACCTTGGCAGATGGGGCTCCTGCACCTGCCCTGCAGAGTTGGCTGTCCTGACACTCTGGGGTGTCAGCCACACTTGTGGGGATCCTGGGAAACCCTACTCACTCCTGGGTAGGCAAGGACCATGTCTGTATCCCTGGCCCTGGCTCAGTGCCTGGCCCATGTGAGGCTCAAAACATGTGCATAGGAAAGAACAGAGTTCAGGCTCCACTAAGGTCCGGGATGCTTAGGGGGCATTTACCATCTCTCCTCCTCTCAGGCGCTGCCCTCATCCTGGGAGTAGCAGTGTCCTCAGTTATTCCGCAGCATACCCAGGAAACCCCTGTTGGGCCAGGAGAAGGCCAGGGAGTAGGGGAGGACATATGTGTGGTGAGGGTGTTCCTCACCCGGCCTCTCAGGACCTTTTGCCAATCAGATCTCAGCTGGCCCTCTGAGCTACCATCCAGCCAGGGTTCACATGGAGGTTCAGACCTGCTCTCCTCCCTCCTTTCCTTTCCCTTGGGAGCCCCACAGCTTTTCATTATCGAGGAAAATACTTAGATCTGAAGGGGAGGTTTTTGTCTATTTTTGGGGGGGGGGGCAGAGCCTCCAGCTGTCCTCCTGGGTAGAGTGCTGTGGCATCACAGCTCACAGCAACCTCCAACTCCTGGGCTCAAGCAAGTCTCCTGCTTCCGCCTCCCAAGTAGCTGGGACCACAGGCGCCCGCCACAACCGCCTGGCTATTTTATGGTTGCAGCCATCATTGTTGTTTGGTGGGCCCAGGCTGGATTTGAACCCGCCACCTTAGGTGTATGTGGCTGGTGCCTTAGCCACTTGAGCCACAGGTGCCGAGCCTGAAGGGGAGGTCTTGAAGACAAGGCTTGGGCCTTCCTCAACAGCCTCACCCATGCCAACGCCTACGCCAGCGGGTTAGACAGACTCTGAAAGTTCAACCACAGTCACACAGACAGTGTCACATGCAGACACATGATCAGCTGGGGTTCCCTGGGGACATGCAGGCTCCTAGGCACAGAGGTACACAGAGGTCC